TACTCGGGGTCTGCGCGTGGTCGATGCCAGCATTATGCCGGCCCAGGTCAGTCATGCTGTGCTCGGCACAGTATATGCGATTGCAGAGAAGGCTGTCGACCTGATTGAAAGCGCTTACACTCAATCAAACGGGGTGTAAGCGAGCTTTTGTACCATAATAAATATCTATTCTCGCTTGGAGGAGAGTTTGAGAAGGGTTATTGAAACCAATTAGTGAGATAAAATCACTACGCGGCTGCAATATTTGTCAATGAGTATGCCATGAAGTGCGCAAGATTTATAGATTTCGCCATCTATACCTATATGCGGGGATAGGCCTTGTTATATTTATGCCTGCGTGTGGACAGGATATAGTAGCATGCCCGCCCAAATCGGAAAATGTCCTTCCGCCGTTTCCATTACCTTGAATATAAGCGTGCCTTATCCGATCTCATATGTTGCCCAATCCAGGCAAGACACTTTAGAGTGTGATTTGGAATAGGCTGTGGCACAGCCGAGCAAGTAGAGTATACAAATAAAGGAAGCAACAATAATAGGCCTCACACGGAGCGCCCAACCCCTGGAAGACTGTTCTAGAACTAGACATGATAGTCTTTGATGGTGACAGCCGCGTGGGTGCTAGTTGAAATAAGTATCTTCGGTGTATTTAGTAATACTTGAAGTACGCTGAGTAGAAGGCACCTCTTAAAATGAAGTATGAAGAGATGTTCATGATTGCGCATGTTGCAAAAGATCTCCCCAAGTCTTGATGCAGCCACTATCAGCAGATGAGAAAGACGAGCAGACACTGATAATCTGGCTGTGGATATGCTCCGCCTCCCATGTCTTAGGTATCAAACAAAGTAAGTACCTTATTCTTTCCTCTTCACTGTTTTCTGGGTGACTTTCCTCGGTAAGGAACTCTATTGCGGTTTTCCCTGATCTATCTTTTCTGGAGATTAACCAAATCGATGTATAGGCCTCTAGCATTCGAGCTCGACGTATATGCCAGGTGATGTCACCATTCGAACGGATACCCTCTAGAAAAGGGAAGACAGAATTTACCGACGGCATGGAGAAGGCTGAGGAAACAATTAGGTTCATCACCTGCACACTTTCAGGAAAGGGTAGCGGTTGAACTAACCATCAGGTCGGAACCTCACTCGCAGGATTATTAGCTCCAACGATTCCTCTTGGAGAGGTTGAAACAGAGCATCCATGATCACTGAATGCGTGGCCCCGGTGGATTTTACAAGATATTCACGAAGGTCTAGGTTTTCTGCTCTAACCAAAACTTAGCTCAGCATCCTGCAATGAGTCGCTATGACAACCTACCGTTCAAATACCTGAGATTCGACCTTGGTCTGTTCGCCCCTTGATATATTCTTCAACGGACGCGGTTGACCACGATTAATTGAGTAGGGCCTGACCGGTGAAAAGGTGTATGAGTGGGAAAAGTCATATAGAACTGTGTCAAAAAAATCCATCGGAAGTCTGAAGTGCTCATCTTTAATATCCCCATGAGTGATTCCAAGACGGTGCAACGTCAGAAGACGGCGAATACGGTCAGTAAAGAGGGAGTCATAGTATTCCACTTCGAAATCACTCAGGGAGCCTAGACCTCTGAGCTTATCCTTGAACTCATTCCCATGACTATGTTCGTTGCATGCTGCTAGGATCCGTCGTGATGAAAGCTTTGGCCTGATGCATTCTAGGGCAATGGCTCGATGTTTAGCATAGGGGCTGCTAAGACACTTCTCGAGATCGGTAATGACACCATGAAACCCAGGGAAGTAGATCCTTTGAGAGCTTGTACATGACGCGTCAATGCGATTGAACACTTTAAGTTCATTGGCAAACCAATCAAGTTCATCCCTAAGCTCCTTGGCCGTCTTAGGGAAACGTGGGGGCCGGCGTCTAAGCTGCATTTCTGCATTATGTTCAGTGTACTCTGGGAACTTCAGTTCGTTTAACATTAGACCTTCTGACAAAGTTTCCCACTACCTGATGTACTCACAATCTTAGCCACATGCTGGCGGTAGAATATTTCTCCACGTCGGACATATAGCCACATAACTTGTATTCTGCCAAACTCAGAGTATCGTCCCGCATCTGCTGATCTTCCCAACATCCATTTCTTCTGCGGATCGAAGAGTCTGACATCTTGCTTATCTTCATGGCCTGCATTGATCCAATCTGGTAGAGGCCAGTCATTGAAGAATGTCTCTGTCCACGACTGACCTTGGGTATTGCTCATCCTCGATCAAGAAACTGGTTAGCTAGCTTGATGATCACCTGGAAATTGCAACCAGCCAAATCTATATATTGTGTATAGCCACTTCAGCGAAGGACCCGTGAAGATTCCTTTGTAAGTCTTCAAACACCTAAAACAGGATTGAAACCATGATATATTGAAGAACGAGACTCAGAAATGTGAGATGGGGTGCAAATCAATTCCTTATATTGTAGATATAAGCATGTTACTGCCAAAATTGTGATTCCATATAGGAGAAGGGTGCCTGCAGCTGCCTATATCATTAGGCAACAGCTTGACCCCTTGCATAGCTCACCAAAATTCTATATGGCTGAATAGGAAGGAATTTATACAATAAGATAAATCTCTAATTTTTTAGGCGACGAGCCAAAGAACCCGCAGAATTGCAAAAAAAGTAAAAGGAGAATATGGCCATTCACTGGCTGCACCTTCCTCATATGGCCAATTGTGTAGTATTAGTTTCTACAATCACGGTAAATGTACTAGCCTGTCAACGTAGATGCCCCAGGATACCCCTATAATGGTTTATTATTTGTCGTTCAGTCGTTGCAGAGGCCACTACAGAAGATTCCTCATTGCTAGTCCTTTACTAGCCCCATTATAACAAAAGACCTCAAGGATAATTGCAGCAAACAATGCAATGGCAATCCACCAAGTGAATACGAGAAGACAAGGCATTTTTCTGTCCGTTGGTATCTACACTAACGTATGCAACTTATGCAACTATCCTTTTTCTGTTATACACAGACAGCCCAAGAGCAGTTCACAACTCACAGAAGCTCTGTTAGTACTCAGTCGAAACACTATTGCCATTCTTATCTACTTATATCTTCTGTTGGGACATATCTCTCCATCGGCTGATCAGATAGATGCGGTATATCGCTTTTGTCTAGCGGTCAGCGCGTCGACGTTTGCTCTTTCCTTCCACCAAACCCATCAACTTCCTACCGGCATTTTGACCAACATCTTCACGTCGTTCTCAGCGACCTCCAACACGCATCGACTTCGAGCCGTCTGGAGCCCAGGAATGGACGCGACCGGGCTACAAAATGTAAGAAGCTTCCAAAAGCACTCTACACGATGAGTCCCGAAACAATGTCTAACTGCTCCTCATAAACTTCCCCCAGGCATAGACTTTGAGTCAGGATAGACCCTACTTCAACGAATGCTAGCATACATTGAATCCACAAAGCATATATCAATCACTGCGTTGAATATGGTTCCTGCCTACATCACTGTAGGATCGTTATGGGATGGTGGTATTGATATGGAAAAGCCAAGTACAGAAAATCTGTGCTTCTGGGGGAAAGTGAGAACCTTCCAAAGTTAATATACTGGACAAACCTCAAGCACATTCTAACTGCTTCATCATCCAATAGAGGCACTCCCAGCACACTTGTTCGGCTCCTATATATACCACAACCGGCAAGAGAACGTGAAGGTTATCGCGGAAGTAGAATCAAACATGGTATCTCCCAAGCCAAACCTTAAAATCCAGACACCGAAAGGTATTTCCACGGTACGATGGCGGTTTTCTAAACCAATCTATGGATTGCACGCCGGGATAGTACAAGAAAGGAAGAAGGAAGCAGCTTCGGGGGTCTCAAGCATCATACAGTCTGACTACTGTCATTAGAGAATCGAGGAGATCTTCTCCCTTTCTCTGGTTGATCCTGACCGCGACCTCTGGTGAACTGGACCTTACAGTCCAAGTCAAACTAGCCGAACTTCTCTAAAGACTTCCGCCGTGTCGAAGTGAAGAGGTGGACTGGAGCCTAGAAAGCTCTAGTACGTCGGCCAAACTCTTCAAAGAGCTCATAGGGGCCAAACGACACTGGGGCTTTCTGATTGAACCCGCCAATCTTGCAATACTATTAAGGAAAAAATGGAAGACAAAGGACAAAAGTCTTAATCATTCGAAACGTGAGAGTGGTAGTCTGGCAAGACCTATTCATGCAACACATATATACGGGCAAGATTGACGGGTTCAATCAGGAAGCCCCCAGTGCCTCCAGTGTTGCAAGGCCCCTATGAAGAGATTAGTCGACGCACTGCCCTTCTTTCCAGTCAATAGAAGCTCACTTCCATGTGGGCAATGGCATCTACCTATGAGGCAAGCTGCCTCAGGTTACAGCTGCAAAGGACATCGTCCTCACTATCATCGCAAAGAGCAGCTGCCCGAGCAAGAAGGAGGTAGAATGGGAGAAGATCAAGGCGCATTCAGTCAGTAAAGAAGATGGTGTGGAGGTGAAGGAGAGATATGGTGTTGGAATAGCGGTTCTGCCAAGTAGGTCGAAACGATATATCGCTGGCTACTTGGAGCAGACGGAGCGACAAAAGTCTCAACATGTGAAGCCAGGCTTCAGGCGTTGCAAAAGCCACCGGATTCCTCTTCCGACTTTTGCAAAGAACATAGAGGTCGCATGAGGAACTGGAGCATACTACTTGCTTCGCACGGAAGAAGAATCGGTAAGAAATATACTACACGGGGAGGTCGAAGGTTCGAATATATCATGGACATCAGGCAACAGTATGACCCCTTGCATAGCCTGGAGATGTCAGCGAGTAGCTTATCAGAGTTGTGTTTGAGTACCTCGGATGTAAGTTCATGGTTTGATCAGATAATTCATGTAAACAGTGGGATAATTATATGATGTATTATGTGAGAAATACAGAATTCCGTAGTCAAACAAATCTACGAGGAGACTCATGCTCATTTACCGGTATAATTTTTTCAGACGTTTGCCGAATTATATGGCATAGTTTTAATTTCTAATGCAGTGTCTTAACTCATTAATGGTATTCGCTTCCCTGAAGCTCAAGCCCAATTACCGATCATTTTCCGCCCGCGACTCCTCGGCCATACCGATCTTCGCTCGTTTCGAGAGATCAGCTTGTAACGCCTTATCAATGGTTGCATTGATCTCCTTGACCTTTTCCAAAGCAACAGAAGTCTTATCCACAAAGACCATCGCATCCACTGGCGATCCAGAGAACTTGGAGACGAAGCACACATCACCCGCATTGTTGATGCCAATTACGACGTCGGCTTCCGCTGCCTGCTCCTCCTTCCGAGTTGCATCAATAATGACCCGCTTTCCTTCATCGAATGTGTGGAAAGTAACAGACAGCGGCTTATGCGTGATGTTCAATGCGACAGGAACTCGCTCATCAAGTCCGTAGACAATCACCTGGCCATCCTTGACTACAGCGTCTTGACGGCGGAAATGCTGCAGTCCAGCCATAATACCAATACAAGCCGCATCAATCAGGTTGCCATCGTAGTCGGTAACGTGGACGTCCGCGCGGATGCTCCAGCAGCTGACACCCTTGAGGATACAGAGGGACTCGGTGTCCAGGGCGTTGGAATGGCGAACGACACGGTCGAGGACATTGGTGACATATGTTTCAAAGTCTCCTTGTCTAAAACAGAAATGGTTAGCTGGAACATTGCTTGCTCGCGGCCGATGAGGAATTTATACCGGCCGTTGTCCCAAGCGGGAGAGCCCATGGCAGTCAGCTCCATGGCGATTGTGAAAAGACCGTCAAACGGACGATCATCGTGAGGTTTCGTGACTTCGGCTGAGATACGGACAATAAGGCTGCAGCGGAAGAAGAGTCAATTAGCGTTGTTAAAGCAAGCTGCAATGAGTCTACTCACCTGGTTTTGCCGAGCTGCACCTTCACATGTCCATACTCCTCCCCGAACGACACATTCAGCGGACGCAGCTGATCGAAACCGCGACCGTCCAGTCGCACATCCTCGCGCAGCGCATTGAGGATGAAGTCGCGCTCAGTGACGGAGAGCAATGCTTCTTTATTCATGATTGCGGAGGCGGATTTGGCCCCGGCGGGGGTCACGGCGGACTTTCTGGGAAATTTCCTGCATGCCGCATCGTCATCGAGGCGGCGGGCCAATGTTGTTCCTCGTATAGCCAATGAGAGAGATTGCTCGCGGGCGGTGAGGTGGCTGACTCATCTTGTGGCCTGAGGTTGCACATCGGCGATCATTATCAGATCTCATCCTCGGTGGAGTGCCAACTACCACCAACATACAGTCTAACAACCGCCACCATGACTACGGGTATGTTATATATACTCGTTGGATTTGAGAAGCTCTGTACTAACTACTCGATAGCTCACAGGCCCACGTTCGATCCCGTATGTACCCCGATCATATGCCCAGCGCATGAAGCTCATTGAAACAGGCACAAGGAAAGGAGGCCCTCCGCGGCCCTGCGTACCATCAACGTCTTCTCCCGGCTTACACACACCTTAAGACACGGTAAGTGGTTTGCAAATTGTGTGCGACCATCACTGACGTGTCAAAGTCAATTCGGTCAGGGTAGCGAAGTCGAAACTCAGCAACGCGATCTACGCGCCGAGCTGCTCCAGGCGGAGGCTGCTCATTTCGCCAAGAAGAACGGAGTTCCCGTGGACGAGCCCAAAGTCGAGACCGCCACGCCCAAGCGCCAGTTGGAGGGTGGTTCACCCGGTGATGATGCAAAGACAGAGGAAGAAGATCCAGAAGCCAAACGACGACGAATACTAGAGGAGACTCGAGATATAGATGCAGATTCTGATGAGTCGGAAGAGGATAGCAGCGAGGACGAAAGGTCAGACTTGCGGATATCTTAGATTCGCGCGATAGTGCTGACAGGATGCAGTGACGATGAAGAGGACGAGGCTGCCGAATTGATGCGCGAGCTGGAGAAGATCAAGAAAGAGAGGCTTGAGCAGAAAGAGAAAGAGGTTTGTGCAGAAGCTTTAGATTTAGGATGACTTACTGATAGCTGTCAGGAACGCGAGCGTGCTGCACAAGAAGAGGAGCAACGCGAAGTCGATATCGCTCGAGGCAACCCGCTGCTCAACCCCCAAGACTTCAATGTGAAGCGCAGGTGGGACGACGATGTGGTGTTCAAGAACCAGGCCCGTGGTACAGAAGATAGGAGGGGCAAGGAGTTTGTCAACGCAAGTCTTGCCTCGTATTATGTATGATGCTATGATACTAATTTGGCCTGCAGGATCTGTTGCGATCGGACTTCCACAAAAGATTCATGGTGAGTTGTACGCCTGGAATAGCGATGAATCCACTAACTCGTATAGTCGAAATACGTCCGCTAAGCTCGTATCCGACAAACACACGCACTCCCTACAGCAGTCAATCCGACGACTATTGTCCTATCCTAGAGTCGTCAACCGATCCCAATTCATACCAGACGCAGCATCGTGGTAGAAACAACTTCCATGTTAGCACGCGAATAGAGAAGCAGCACAACCATATGCTTCGCAATACAGCATAGGAAGAAAGCCCGACGACAAGCGAAAGAGTGAAAGGGTGATCTAACACATGGCGCTATTATATTTCTTCTCATAGTGTATACCCACATCTCAATCAAACCAATATCCATATAGCCCAATATAGTTTAGTACCTGAGTAGTCTCCTATCATATCAACCTGATAGACACCGTACTGCCGGCAGTACCCACACCGCTCCCAATCGACTTGCACCGCAGCATTACAGTAGTATCCTATCCCATCTTTCCACACAAACAGAAGACCAATCGCTGTACCGGCTCAAACTCCTCAGAAATGGATTCGCAACCGTCATCGAAAGCGCTTCACTGTATGCCAAATCCTAAATGTCCACCTCTCCGTCGCACAGCTAACAACCATCATCCGTCGCAGATCGCATCAACACCAACATCTCGCAATTACTCCAACGATTCGAGAACATCATGGCCACAGCAACCGTTAGCTCACCTGTCCTCTTCCTACTCATACAATCGAATAATCATTAATCCAAAATCTTCAGACCGAAAGCACCAGCCACACCTCCACCGCCGTCGAGACATACCAGCTCGACGTGGAGTCCACAGCATTGGTACGTTCCAATAAACCCCTATTAAAGTAACATATACTTACGAAATAAATCTGGGATAGGTCCGCGCCGCAGAAGACATTCTCGCCCTGACCCGAACAATGAAAGAAACGTGGCTATTCGGGAAACTCGACACGCTAGGCGAAGACGAAGCGGACGTGAAGCGACGCGAGGAATTAGAGATGAATGCGGAGGCGATTCAGAAGGCTATTGAAGATGGGGGGTTTTTGAAAGCTGCTAAGTGAGCAGCAGCTTTGTTTTGAGTTGTATACTGTGGTGCATGGCGTATACTGGGTTGGTTAGTTTGGTTGGTTGGTTATTGCATGGAGTTGGTGGATAAATGGCGTTAGGTTTTCAGTTGATAGAATTGCGAATTAGGTAGTATATATGTATATATTATTATAATTAAGCTGTAAATACACCATCTATTACTATTAAAATAAACATGAAATTCTGGGGTAGTCCGGTCGAAGAAATATACTAAAAGCACGTGGTTTACCACCACCACCACCAACCCAGCGGGGAATATCGTTGATCGCGAACCGTCTGATAAAAGCTTCCCTTCCCTTTTTATCATATTTCCCCCCACCGCGTCCCTCCCTCCCTCCCTCACTACCACCGACCAGCCTCATACAACACATACCTACCACCATCACCACCACCACCACAATTCTGTTCAAAAGAATAACTACCAAAATGCCTCCTACACCCCGCCCCCTAACCATCATCGTCGCTACCACCCCCATCCCAACCCCCACCACCACCACCGAGAGCAGCAGCAACACGCCAATCCGCCTGGGCATCGGCCACTCGGGCACACTCCCCTGGCCACGAATCAAAACCGACATGTCATTCTTCGCACGGGTGACCTCCCGCCCGCCAGCCCCAGGAACCATCAACGCCATAATAATGGGGCGGAAGACGTACGATTCCGTGCCGGCGCATCTGCGGCCGCTGGCGAAGCGCATTAGCACCATCATTACACGGGATGTGGAGGGGTTGAAACCTAGGGTGGCGAGGGAGGTTGAGGATCGGAAAGCTAAGTTGGCTGCGTCTGCTGCTGCAGCTGCAGCAGCATCTGCATCTGGGGGTAATGGTAATGCTGCGCAGCAGCAGCAGCAGCCTGCTACGGACGCGATCGTGTGCGGGGGATTGGATGAGGCGCTGCAGGAGCTGGAGACGAGGTATGGAGAAGGGAAACTAGGCAAGGTGTTTGTGATTGGCGGGGCGGAGATATATGGGGCTGTTTTGGCTAAGGGTGCTGGTGGTTTGGGAGGAGGGCCGGTGAGGATTGTGATGACGAATGTGGAGAAGAAAGGGTATGCGGAGGGAGATCAGGGGGAGGTGTTTGAGTGTGATACGTTTTTCCCGGTCGATGAGGAGTTGTTTGGGGAGAAGGAGGGGTGGAGGAGGGTTACGCCGGAGGAGGTTACGGAGTGGGTTGGGGAGGAGGTTACGGGCAGGTGGATTGAGGAGGGGATGTTAGGGTGCAGATGGTGGGGTATGAACGTCAATAGTATGTGTACTATTGAAGATTAGTAGTGGTGGGTAGAGGCTATGTGCGCGGGCGTACTCGGTGTCTATCATGGTGAAGTTGATATACTTCTGGCAGAGTCTATGTATACGGCAGATATGTACAGTCTAGATAACCACTAGCCGCCCTAATAATGCTGGTACAAATCACATGCTCTCGCTGAAATAACAATCAAAACCCAAATCAGAGGCAAACAAACCAACTCCTTGCTAATATACAAGCACATGGAGTATGCACATTGCTGGATGCAGCTGTCAAATACTTGTCAATAATCGCTGAACGATGTCGTAATGAAACACTGCAACGCTGAACGCTGATAATCACATCACTCATTCTCTTTCATATACTTCACAAAGGCTTTCTTATGTACTAAGCCGGCATATTGGCCATCATGCGACACGCACAGATAGCGCAGACCAAGCTTGGCAAAGCATTGATACACGAGGTCGATAGGCGAATGGATGTCGAGGGCAAGGGGGGACTGCAGATGTCAGATTTGTAAACGTAAAAGGATGGAGCTACATACCGGATCAATGTATTGTCCAAAGTCGACGCGGCCGGTTTCGGCTTCATCCTCGCTGTCAGAAACAGCCGAAGAGCCGTCGAGACTCATCAGGCAGAGGGTGTTCTCCTCGTCCGCGAGGTTGTCCAGTGCGTACTCCAGCTCAGGGGCGGGGATTAAACCGGTGAGAACCCCATGGCGCAGGATCGGAAGACCGCCGTCGAGTTCGCCCGCCATCAACAGGTTCTGAAGTTTCGAACGTAGCTCGCGTGCCGGCACAAAGGACGAGCCCGAAATGTCAATGATACGACTGGAGCGAACCGGCCGAACGAGATCTCCCAGCTGTGCATCCGACGTCGGTTGATGCTTACTGTCCAGGAACGGGTAAGAATTCATATCGGTCAACATATCCTGTTCAAATTAGCCCATATCTTTCCACAAAGCATTCGCGTACTCACGTAGATGCTGCGAGGTTCGATAGCGTCAGCAGTCCACTTGGCACACAAGACAGCCACGGAGAATGGCAGCACGTGGTCCAAACTTCCCGTGAGCTCAAAGAGAATGACAGCTAGTGTAACAGACAGGCGTGTTACTCCACACATGGTTGCACCTGCTGCGACCATGGCGTACACACCTGGCGTCACGCAGGATTCCATGCCGGCGGTGGCGGGACACGACGATCCAAAAAGAAAAGAGGTGGGATATTTCAGTACCAAGTACTGTGCTGCATGTCCAACGATGCGGCCCAGCAGACCACCAACAACCATGGAAGGGACGTAGATACCACACGGCACCTTGATTCCGAACGTCACCACCGTTAGAAGACTCTTGATGACAAACGCAACAAGCAAATAACGGATAATTTCTCCGATTCCCTCCTCCGGCGGGCACAGACCAGTCGGCGATGAGGACTCGTGATCACAAGGACTAGCCAACTCAAACATAAGCTCGGAGACGGGCAGCTTGGTGTAACGATTCCAAAAGCTAACCAATCCGGTCAAAACAGCAACAAGCACGACTTCGATCATTGGCCAACGTTTGATAAACCAAATCTTCCGGAAAGACCGCGCCCAGAGGTTCGAGGCCTTGATGAACAGAGCACCTAGCGCTCCACCGAGGACACCGAGGAGGATAAAGATTGCCATTTCAAACATCTCCCAGTCGCCCAGATAGCGGACCTGGAACAAGACAATCTTGCCCGTGCCGTAGGGATTGAGGAACTTCAAGGAGAGAGCTGCTGCGATGCAGCAGAAGAACGTTCTGAACAGAGTCTTCGGAGGGAAATAGTAGCTAACTTCCTCTAAACTGAAAAGGACACCACCGATCGGGGCACCGAATGCTACCGCCACACCACCTGCAGCACTTGCGCTCAAAACCTCACGTCTCTTGCCATCGTTGTGATTATACTTGGCAAAGATGCGACAGCAGATATTGCCCACACATGTCGCGATGTGCACATACGGTCCTTCTTTGCCCAAGCTGAGGCCTGACGAAACGCTGAACACCAGCGCAAGGGTTTTGATCAAGAGAGTCTTGAAGCCAAGGTATCCGTGCAGAACGAAGCCGCTGTTAATGACCTTGACCTCAGCCACTCCACTACCTGCCGCAGGATAGTAAACCATGGCAGGACGCGTGGGGATGGCGGAACTAAGCGCTTGCTGGCTGGAAGCAGATCCGGGCGAATTACTATTTGCATTGTTTCCTTTTGTACTCCGTGACGACGCCGCCCCAAGGTTTTCATCCAAAGTTGTCAGCGACACCGAGGATGGAACCACGGTCTTTGTGAACAGCGTCAAGAGGCACGAGATGACAGAAAGAAGCACCACCCAGAAGATGAACATGCTGTAGTTGACCCAGTAATTATCCGGTCCTGAGGGATTGTAGATCTGGGACCAGGACCGCCACGCCGGGCAATTCGAGCCTCCTGTACAGCAGCTCTGACGGCTGTGGAACCAGTGTGTAGTACAAAAGCCTTCCTTCACGTCAAAGATGAATTCCTCCGTCACGTCTACCGAATAAGCTATCGCGGCCGTGATACAGCCAATCAATGCGACCAGGACCCAGCCCTGGGAGCCATCGAGCCATGCCAGCAGACGACCGCGGATATCCTTGCGCTTGCGCAGCTGCCGAAGACGAGCCCCGTCTATGATACTGTCATGAACCCAGTCAGTGGAGGTAAACTGGTCATACCAGCTCCGCTCATCCATGAACGAAGCTGTTAAGCCATCTTTGACAGAAGCAGCCAAGCTTTCCGCCTGCTCCGCATCGATACTGCCGCGTCGACTAAAACGGATCGCCTGGGAGTTGGCGCGGCTATGGTGTCGCGACCGGCGAATGCTTCCCGTCATTAGGGTGTGTCTGAAGTTGAAATCGGGCCCCGTATTTCCAGAAAAGTTGGTATATGAACGTCGTGGCATACCCCGCCGGGCTTCATTGCCCTTCGGTAGAAGACTTGTGGTTTCGCCTACTTCCATATTCGGGTCTGAAGGTTCATGGGGAGTTTGGACTTCAGAGAGAAGGCTATGGGTTCGTCGAACGGCAGATGGCGAGGGGGGAGCTGTTCGCGAGGCAGTCCTGCGGGCGTCCGATCCGCCGGAGGGAAGCTCGGCTTCCGGGAGAGCGCCTTGCAGATTAGGAGGGATTGAACGAGGCATTTTTGGGAGACTAGGGAAGCAAGAGCTGCTTCGGACTTAATATATGCGGCCTGGAGATAGTCAAGTCAGCCCAGGCAGTCCGGGGGTCTGCCAAATGCAAACCAGCAGCAGCAGGGACGGAGAGATAAGAACAACCCTCAGCAGCGGACATATCCAGCAACATTTAAGCCCGAGAAGAGGCCGAGAAAACGAACAGTGGGGACTCCGACTAGTTCGGTGGTTCTCCAGCGCGCGCGTGGTAGATGGCGGTGAAGTTGCCGAAGTGAAGAGACTAAGAGAGACGGGAGAGACAAATAAACACGGCAGTCGCAAGGTTAGTTAGTTTAGTTAGGGGGTGAGTTGAGGCTGTAGAGGAAGCACACAATGAAAGAAAGAAAGAGCTTAGTGAGAAGTGAAAGAGATGACACAATTAAGAGGGGCAGGTAATAATAGTTGTTAGAAATAATAATAATAATACCGCCTCAAAAAGGAGAGGTTCAGTGGAAAAGGGAAAAACAAATGCAGGAGGCAGCGATGGGCATGACATCGAGGAGGTCATGGCCACCAAAGCAGATAAACGGGGCTAAAGGCGCATCATCTGACGATCGGAGTCCGGGTGGTCCCTTGACTTCTGGACTTGGTTGGTCACCACACCCTAATCATTCCCCATCCGCTTCCCAAGAGAGGAATGGTTTTCATGTCTCTCCTTTGAAACCTTGTTGCTTTAACTCTTCCCACCTTCAACCCCCTCTCCTCCTTTCGTGAACTTCCCTGCCATATAATAGCAGATGATGAAGGGAATGGAGGGGGGGAAAAGACAGCATGACAAACGGTCAGATAAATAAAGAATCCTGGGGGACCCGATCCATGGCACGTGCATTGTCACGATAATGGCGGCCGTGTAACATGCCAATGATGCCATTCATTCCCCACTCTCGCCTAATTATTACTATCCCCAAGCTTAGTACGTAGTCTACTCTGCTGCAGCACCCCGGATGTCCGCCGCTCTTAACGGCTTAACTGCCTGTTCCATTATACCCCTGGGATGCGAGGCATGACCCCTCCATGAGGCATCCTTTCCCACGGCTGAACCCAGTTTAGAAATGAGGCGTGAGCTGGCTTTGACTGCACTACTTTATTTCGACGGGCGCCTGATTACTGCAATTGGTTAGATGTTCTCCGTGTCAAAAGATCAACACGATAGTTAAGGCGACATTGACGGTGTCTGTGTCCCAAGATGGAGCTATAAACGACGTTCTTATCATGACCGCATCGTACGGTAGTAATGGTGCAGCAGACTCGACTCTGCAGAGGGTGGATATATACAGTCCACCTCCACCGATGGTGTCACAGCGTTATATTCATCACTGTCACTCATAAAAGGACTAACATCTTTATCCATGACAGCCCCCGCTCAAAGGGTAGATAATCTGTTTTTGCCGCTTCCCCGCATGATAAAGCAACTTATATGAACTCTACCAGTTACATTATACCTCTCTACTCGGTCGATGCAGGCTACCATGGCTCCACTCCCGTGCATGCATGGCAATGTATACTTTGCCACTCTGCACAGCTACCAAGATCTTGATGCCGTTCTTTAGGCTTCATTATTAGGAGACGGGAGGTGAGTAGCTTCACTGATCATACTTTATCAATAAACTTGCAAGGTTGCCTGGTTCAACAGTACAAACATGATGTATAAAATCTTAAGCTTGTCCCACAAGTCGTGCCATACCCCAACTGCCACCGATCTTTCACCCACCCATCTCCAAGACAAAGATAGCTTCAGTGTCCGGTTGGACAGCGATAATCAATCATCTGCGGAGACTTATATCCAAACCACCAATGAAAGCCTACTCCAGCCCCAAATACAGTTCAATACCCAACGCGTTATGACGTATCCGCCACCATAGACCTTTTCGGATCTACATATACAGCGTACGTGGAATTCCGATAATCAAATCCCGATCGTATGGCAAGGTTACTTGTTGCAACAACTATCATCGACCATTTCTACCAATAACAAGACCACTCACGGAACCATGGCCCTAACCGACATTCCATTACCATATAAACTCTCCTCTCCTCACAGCAGATATCCTGAAACAAGGACTCTTGTCCTGAAACCAAGATAAAGAGCCCATCCATATATATTCCACCCACGGAACCCATGAAACCGCCATGAAACACCCCGCATACAAACAAGGTCGCTCCCACTGTCCCCATCAACTTACTGCCCTCTCTTTCAACAACCTACCTCATCAACAATGGGACTCGACACCATCTGGAAGAATAACCCACCCATATCATCTCCTACCATCTTTCCTAGAATGTAGATTAGCCGTATCCCTCCGCATCCCGTATCCAAATTTCCCCTCACCTAGGAACTCCGTAGCAAAGGACACGCTTTACTAACAGAGTATCCGAGCCTTGCATTTGTGAGTAAGTACTCCGTAGCATTTGGCCATAATGTGTATCATAAGGTAGAAAGATGACTAGTGTTGAGGGATGTGTGATCGAGGGGTGTGAGTCTTCCTGACAGCTCTGTTGTTACAGGTCAGATTTGGTGATGCCGTGGGCCACAGCGGGTGTAGAAGGTGCATTTGGAATGGACAAGACTCTTGACCATTCCATCTTGGATTGCGGCAGTTTATTCTTATTTCAGTAATCCTGCTATTATCTGGGTTAGAAATCAGTATGCTTTTATCTCTCATTTCTTCTTTTTTTTTTCTCTGCCCTCTAGTATTATCCATTATTTTCTATCTAACTTCCCACTCTCCTCATCGCTGTATGCCTCAACACCCTTGCTTTTATCTATATATACAGCCTTTCCTTTCTGATCCTGCGTCTTGATAATCACATCTCATACCTAATCAACTGGATATAATAACAGTGAAGATTAGAATGAAGGCAATTCCAGCTTTAATGTCAGTGAGATATTGTTGATTAATGAGCTTGATAAGAACTTGACCCACGAGCCGGAAGACAGCGACGAGTCTAGTGTTAATAATTAGTAGGTTGAGAAGTCTGTTATTGACGAGGATGAGCTGCCCATAGAGTATCATACCTGCTCAAGCAGAAAGTCTAAATATCTCAGTGGCAGTACACGGGAATTATATAGCGAAAGTTAGATGAGACTAAAATAATTCTTGTGACTAATAAATAATAACTATATTATCTTTACTTTAGACTACTTATCTGTAGAGTGTAGCTGGTATTCTGTGCCTGGTGGATAGCATCAATGTTGGGGTCTGGACCCGAGCTCTCAGTGGCAGTGGCATGGACTTTGAAATGGGTTCTTTTCCTCTACGGGGCTTGGTCTTGTAGCAGTGCAACCCTTACTATACTAAGACAAGTATGAGATACGAAGGTCTATTAAAATCATGTCAGAAGTAGTGTCTTCAGGATTCTCAAGCAATGAAGGACTGCGATGGGAGTAAATTAGGGATCCAGGTGAAGAGAGTACAAGATACTTATATACTATGTATAAAGCTACAGATATCTCCGCTCTGAATTGAGATAGACAACTGATCGCCATACCTTTTGGCTATAGATGCTCGTCATTATAGCCGAGCAGACAAGCTTGGGAAAAAAAAAAAGAAAAAAGAGAAGCTCAGGCGGCCCCCGAAGAATATATACACTGGCTTAGATTCACGTTGATTATGTCCCCAAGGTTAAGATCTCGCCCTCCTAAATGCCATTTTCTAAAATGACAAGTAAGCCTTCTTTGACTTCCTCTCAGACTGTAACGGAAGTTGAAGGGGGGATTCGGGAAGCGCTACGCCTCGTAGGGCGAAGGTAGCCTCTATGTCCCCTTCGTGTTCACTGATGTCTTCTGATAACTATGTGGTAGAGAAGAAATGTCTCTGGGACAATTTTTGCGTGGGGTGTCTTAATATGTTAGTTATTGAAGAGACATCCTGAACTATGGCCAGTCAATATCAAGGGACACATACTACGGAGTAAGGTCATAAGAGACATGCAATGCACAAGAAGTAATACGCTAGTCTAAAGACACACAATCAAATTTGGAATCATGCAACATTCCAAATTCCTGCGGGGGCGACTTATGTGGCACATCTTACATGGTATGCTAGGATGGTCAGATTGAGGTGAGATTAAGTAGAGGAACAATGGTATTTGGACATCCTACTTGATTGTGTGTAACCTCCAAGTTCAGCTTTCATTCACAAGGACACTCAAATCTTTCCTACGTAAAGATAGCTCTTCATTCACCAATGAATATTCTTCGTTGGATGATTTGGGGAGTCCTAATTCGGCGCTATGCATAATAGTTGACACTACTACTGCATAAGATGCATTTGCTAAGGTACTGTTTCTTCCTATGCTGTTACGCGATAAGACATATTGAGGGGTATTTGGCAACCTAGGGTAGGCCATAGTGTATTCAGGCGGCCTCAACCTTCTTCTCAGCCCCGATTTCAAGTGGCCCGTGACAGTACCCACCATTATTATTTAGAAATCACTTAATGACATCCATAAGAACAAATACAACTGCTGAGAGAGTACCTGACGTGAGACCTCAGCTCTATACCGAAATTTTCTACGTGGTCGACATCGTAAGAAAGCTAGCTACGACAGGGTTAGCCTAGACCAATCCTGTCTTGAGCTGTGTGTCAATACTTAAGGCTTAGTGGCTTGGTAATTTGAAATGCATGTCAGGCTGGTTTCAGCATGCAGCAGAAGAAACCATACAGTAGATAATAGGGGAGCGGGTCACGAGAAAGCATTAGGAAGGGTTGTTCACCGGCACGTCGATCCCGGATTTCTGTATATGTTCGAGCCGCAAATAGATACTCCGTACAAAGCGTCTGACCCTACACAATAGTTCTGATTTTGACTATTTAAATACCACAAGGTGCCTGCCTTTGCTGAAAAGATATCAGAGTTCTTCTAGCAATCATCATCTACTCATTAACTCCTCGCTGCTAACTATGAAGCTCCATCTGCTGTTAATCACTCTGGTTGTTGGTGCGATAGCTCAATCCACAATCTCACTG